TGGTAAAAATCTTCTATGTCCTCTTCCTTGGCTCTGGTTGTTGGTGCATATATCTGAATGATAGTAGTATTCACTGGACTTCCTTGTATGCGTATGGATATTATCCTGTCACTCACAATATTGTACTTCAAGATGGATCTAGCAATGGCTTTTTTTAACTATGAAAGCAACTCCATTTTTTCTCACCTTTTCATTTCCAGAGTAATATGTGATATGATCATCCAACTCAAAATGCCCCATGCCAGTCCATCTCATCTCGCCAATGCCTAGTATGTCAATATTTATGCATTCAATTTCTTCCTTAACAATATCTAATTTTCCTACATTCATGGTTCTCACATTCCATGTCCCAAATCACTAGTGTCTGCTTACAACTGTTCCTCTTCCTTTGTATTTCCATACTTGAAAGCTCAACCTCAGTTGCCCTTTCTGTTATCTACATGTCTTCTGTTGAACATAGGGTTTTCAGAGGCCTGCTATTTCAGAAGTGGATGGCCAATCCTTCTTCCTAGTCTGTCTAAATCTGAATGGATTGAATTGAGGCTCAATGTCAAGAAGACAAAGATTCTCACCACTGGACCAATTGGCAGCATCAGGATGGATGGTAAAGAGATTGAGACTGTCCACAGCTTTAGTTTGCTTGGCTCCACAGTCAACACTCTTGGCACCAGTAGCCAGAAAATTAAAAGGCGCATTGCCACTGGAAAGTCTCCTATTAGGGACCTCTCCAAAGTACTGAAGAGCAATGGTGTCTCTCTGGAGACTAAGGTGCATCTGATACAGGCCACGGTCTTTTCAATCACTTGTTATGCATCAGAGAGTTGGACAATGACCAAGGAGGATAGAAGGAAAATTGATGCCTTTGAGCTGTGGTGCTGGAGAAGATTATTGAGGGTACCACGGACGGCTAGGAAAACAAACAGATTCATCCTGGAAAGGGTCAAACCAGGTGGCTCCTTGGAGGCAAGGATTCTGAGGCTCCATCTAACGTACATTGGACATGTTGTAAGGAGAGACCGGTCCTTGGAGAAGGACATCATGCTTGGGAGGGTGGAGGGGCAGTGCAGGAGAGGAAGGCCCTCTATGAGGTGGATTGATTCAGTGGCTGGGTTAATTGGGATGCGAGTGTCAGAGACAATGCGATTGGCACAGGACAGAGCAGAGTTTAGGGCTGTTATCGCAAATGACTCGGCAACACATAACAACAACAACCTCCTCAGGGGAGGGAGAAGTTGGCAACAAACACTGAACTTGTGCATTATTTGCAAAATAAAATGGTACACACAATTGAAAGAAAAATATATTTTTGTTCTTAAAGAATCACCTTTTGTATTCCCAACTGCTTTCTTAGCGTACTTGGTTTGGTTTTTGTTTCTCTTTTTTATCATGGTAACCTCCAAAAACCCAGCCTTGGGAAGTCCTGGGAAGGCAGGGTGACCAGTCCCCATCAGCACTGTGACCTCTACAGTTAGCAACCAGCAGGCTGGGTACCACCGTGCTCCTCTCCAGATGTCAGAACACCCAGTGAACATTCCTAGGAAGGTGTTATGCAAGGTCTGGTCACTTAATTATTTGTACATGCACCTGGTTGAGTTGTAGACAAGGTAATAAAACAATGATTTTCAAGATCAAATCAGATCTAGATCTTTCTTGGAAGGCGATGCTTCATGTCACATGCTTTGGGCATATGCTATCAAGGGGGACAGTGAGACTGGCTCAGGATAGGGTAGGTTCAGAACTATTGTGCATAGGGTCACTCTGAGTTACAGGTGACTCACGGCATGTAACAACAACATCAAGGGGGCCCTGTCCTTGGAAAAGCAGAGGGTAGGTAAAGAGCGGAAGGCCCGCGGCAGTGAGATGGGGTGGCAGTGTCTGCGGCGGTGCACTTGCACACGGAGGATGGTGGGATGTTGCAGGGTTGCGCAGGGTCTCCATCTACTGCTGTGAGGTCACCCTGAGCTGGTGTGGGGGAGGATGGGGATGTCGCAGGGTTGCACAGGATCTCTGTCTACTGCTGTGAGGTCAGCCTGAGCTGGTGTGGACTCACAGCCTCTGACAGCAACAGCAGCAAACTCTCCCTCCAACTTGTATGTGACCAGTTCGTATGTTACCGAGAAAGCCGCTTTGTGATGTGGCTGAATTTAAATTTCTGGGTAGAAGGCGGACAACGAGCGCGGGAATGCGAGCCTCCCACAGTGTGTCGGAGCCGCTCCTGCCTGTGCCCAGGCAGCCGCCCTGGCGAGACTGGCATCTTGATGCACGCCTCTTTTTCCGTTCTTCCTCCAGCCTAGTGCGAGAGGAGTCTAATGTATTTGTGTCAGGAAAGGCCTATTTGTTCTGACAAACTGATCAACCTCCAGGGTGTTCCTCCACCATGAAACTGATTTTATATCTCATCCACTGACTAATAAGATGTGAAGAGTCTTCCCGACGCTGCCGGGAGCAGGCTGCCCTGTGCACGAGACAGGCCTGAGACCACATGGTGAAGGCTTCCCAGTAGCTGGGCCTCGCCGTCCACAGAAGTGCCCAGTGGCAAACCCTGAGACCAGCAAGTCCCCTAAGCACAAACACTCAGGTGCAGCCCCACGGCAGACCTCCTCACTGTTGACTGCATGGGCTCTCAGCGGGCAGTGAGCACACCTGCCATGAACTGGCCCACGTTGGTGGCATTGAGGATTATAAAGGATGCACCTTGACACATGCTCATTTTCCACTGGAATTAATTTCATATTTTGATACAGTATTGATTACTGGGCATCAGAAAGTTGGACAGTGACTAGGGAGGATAGAAGGAGAATTTATGCCTTTGAGCTGTGATGCTGGAGAAGAGTATTGAATATTCCATGGACTGCTAAGAAAATGAATAGGTTTGACCTGGAGAGGGTGAAGCGGGGCTGCTCCTTGGAGGCAAGAATTCTGAAGCTTTGCCTGACATACTTTGGACATGTTGTAAGGAGGGACCCCTTGGAGAGAGATGTCATGCTTGGCGGGGTGGAGGGACGGTGCAGGAGAGAAAGATCCTCGATGAGACGATTGATTCAGTGACTGGGGTAATGGGGGTGGGTGTGTCAGAGATGGTGAGATTTGCACAGGATAAGGCAGGGTTTAGGACTGTTGAACATGGGGTCTCTATGAGTCACAGGCGACTCAACAGCACATAAAAACAGCAAACAACAACATTGTTTACTGTGAGGTATGATATGGTAGCACCGTGTGGTTAAAGCATTTGGTCCCTAACCAGAAATCAGCCATTCAAAGTCACCATCTACTCTCCAAGTGAAATATGAGGCTGTCTGCTTCTGTAAAAGTCGTTGCTGTTGTTATTTAGATGCCATCAAGTCAAGTATGACTCATAGTGACCCTATAAACCACAGATCTGAACCCTGTCCTGTCCTGTGCCATCCTCATCACCCCGACACTCTCAAGCCCACTGCGGCAGTCACTGTGTCAATCCATCTCAATGGCATCTTCCTCTTTTTCGCCCAGACTCCACCTTCCCAAGCATAACTTCCCTCTCCAAGAAATAGCCCCTCTTAACAACATACTCAAAGTATTTGAAATAAAGCTTTGTCATTTTGCCGCCAAGGGGAATTCTAGCCACACCCTCTCCAAGACATATCTGTTTGTTTTCTTGGCCATCCATGGGATGTTCAGTGCCCTTTTCCAACACCACAGCTCAAAGGCATTGAGTCTTCTTGTGTCATCCTTATTCATTGGCCACTCTCAGATGATTGAAAAGGCCATGGCTTGAATCAGGTGCACTTTAGTCTTCAAACTGACATCACAACTCTTCAGGACTCTGATGAGGTCTCTGACAGATACAATATGTATCCTGGTCTCCTGGGTGCTGGTACCAAGAGTACCATATTACACGCTGGAAACTGTGTGAGACAATTCTATAACCTAATGGGTCAGTAGGAGCGGGGGCCAACTCAATAGATTCTTTACTGCCAATGACCAGATCAAAGTCTGGAGGTGCTGCATCTAGCAGAAAGCTGATGAACTAGAAAATAGATCTGGTCTGTGGAGGGCAGGGCACGGAGTGAGCTCAGCTCTGCGTTCTCACCTGTGAACCAGACACACCCCACACACACTCATACACACACACATGCAAGTTCTCATTCAGCCAGTTCCAATGCATTGTGAATCCAAATGGGATTTCAGCTGCAATTCACTTTTCCCATCACATCCCATCATCACTTTTCCAGCCCTTCTTTGTTTTTTGTTTTGTTTTTTATTTTTTTATTATTATTTTTTGTGCATGTACCGTCAAATCAGATCTGACTAGTACAGGAGGAAATTGTCCCTCCTTCTCCGGCAGAGCATCTGGTGGATTTGAACCGGGTTCTGGCCCAGCCCTTCTTTGTAAGGTGGAAGGAAGGCGGGGGTCACCCCATGAGAAGTCATCATGGCATACCCTCCCTCCTCCCCATCCTAGGCTTCTCCACAGAAATAAGCCCATCAGGCTAGACCTGCAGGTCTCCTCCGTGCATCAGAGAGCATTAGTGTGAAGTTGTGGCGTGAAGCAGCCTTCCTTGTGCCCCACCCCCTGTAACCCTTCCTCACAGCTACTCACTTAGACACTAAACTGGAAACAATCTTGAAGAAGGGGGAACATGGCTTACGTATCTTGGTAGCCCTGCTGTCTCGCACAGTGCTGGAAGCATTCTCTAGCCCCATCAAGCTGTGGCTTTATTTCTCTTTGCCAAAAGGAATTTTGGTGCAGAAACTATCACTTAAGTCATGGGAATCAATGTACTTGATAACTTTGGAAAAGGTAATAATAACATTTCAGAGTCAAATGTGAAAACCAGTTGTGTCTGCTCTCACCTGGATGCTCTCCCGTGTTAACTCTTCTGCAGGGTTCTCGGCAGCCGGCTCTTCAGAGCAGATTGCCAGTCCTTTCTTCTCACGCTCCTATGGTGCATCCAAACCTCCAGCCATCGGCAGCCACCACCCCGTGGACTCCACCTAATGCTTGTCCTCTTCTTTTGCAGCTCGTCTTCTGCCGGGACTGTAAAGAGGCCTACCATGAGGGTGAATGCAGTGCCCAGTTGGAAGCCGCAGGAACAGTTGTTCAGGTACAGAGGACTCACACTCCTCAGGTCAGAGCTCAGAGCTCAGGGCCCGGGTGAGGGCATGGAGCTGGTCCTAGAGGTCTTCAAGGGACATTAGACTGTAACCTGAAGAAAGAGATAGAACACTTCTCTCCCATCCCAGCACCTACCCACAGCAGTCCTCACCACAAGGTGGGCCTGAGACTGCAGCTTCCCAACAGCTACCCGCTGACCACTGGTCCTTTGTGATTGACTTTTCCCCCAGGGACATATGACGTAAGAATATGCAACATTAGCATGTGTGAGAGGAGTCTCATTCTCTTACTGCTTAGGAGGTTAGAAGTCCAAGTCCAACATTATTCTAGAAGAAGACTCTGTAATGTCTTTGTTCCAGGAGGTTCTCAGCACAGAGGCCCCGAACCTCAAGGACACAGGCTGTGCTCATAGGTCTGTCCTTTTCTGCTAATGCCTCTCTTCTCTTATCCCTTGAATGACCAAGAGTAACACAGGCTACACTTCAGGGAACTCCCTTTATTATGGGCCAGGGCTGCGATAGAGCCAAGGTCCTACATCCACCATAGTCCCCTCATGACTGATGGCTGGTTACATCATGGGAACAATCACATCATTACATCACATTATTACTGCCGGAACACTGAGAATCCTGGTCCAGCCAAGGTGGTACCTATTTTGGGGAGATACAAGCCAGTCTATGACAAGAAGGGAAATTAAACAATTCAACCACCTTTAAAATTAGAAAATTCAGTATTAACTCTGGATTGGGTTCTTTTTTTAAAAAGTGCTTTTGTTTCAAATCTTTGGCAAAAAAAAAAAAACAAACAAAATAAAATATCCATCAATGTCATGCATAGATATATTATCTGATGCAAAGATACCACTGCCTCTTTTTTTTTTTAACCACTGTCTTTAAGGGCATCATGAATTATGCTAAACTGTCTTTCTGTCTTGATTAGGAGAAGAGCTTGTTTACCAAACCTTTCTCTGAAATACCATGTAAGGCGTAGGGAAATGCAAATACACGCAATTTTCCTTATTAATTATGATCAACCCAACCTTAGGGAAAAGGAGGGGAAGCCTCAGCACAGTTGTTGAATTTGCTCATTATTTTTCTACTGATATAGATGTTAACAGGGGTTTAAATACCAGATCTGCCCAGATAAATCCTTCAGTAGTCTAATTGATGGAAACCATCATAAGCAGACAGAGACATTCAGCACATCTTAATCTTACAGCTGAGAATTTCAAAGAAGTAATGCCATGACATTAGAGTGTAAAACAGTGCATCAACAAAGCACCTATACTAGTGTTCCCCAATACTAGCCAGGGAGCAAATGTAACTAGTGAACCCTGCTTTTCCCTTTAGCTTTCCCAGTGTTGACCAGGAGGCCATGGGAGGTTTCAGACTGACACTATCTCCGCAGCCGAGGAAAGAGCTGCTCTTTGTGTTACGTGTGCATGCTTGTGGGTGTACAGGGAAGCTCTTGGTCCTTGGGAGACCTTCCTCACAAACACTGTGGGCCCCAGAAGAGCTGAGGCTCTTAGAAATTAAGTTCTTCTAGCAGTTTCCACTCATGATATAAGACTTTCTGCTTTCATCCTCTTACAGTATACTGCCTTAGAAATCACAATCAAAAACACAAATAAAAACACCCAAAAATGTATGTTGTTGTTGTTGTTGTTGTTATGTGCCATTGACTCATTTGCGACTCATAGCGACCCTGAGTCACGAAAATGTATACTTTTTTTAAAAAGAAAAATGTTTATTATGTGTGCGTACCGTCAAATTGGATCTGACTGGTACAGGAGGAAATTGTCCCTCCTTCTCCAGCAGAGCATCTGGTGGATTCAAACCGCTCATCTCTGAGATTCCAGTGCAGCATCTTGCCACACACAAAAAAATGTATACTCTTAACATCCATTTGTTTGAGAGCAGAAAGTAGGAAGTTGAAGACGAATGTTGCTGAAACAAAACTCTCAGGAGGCTGACCACCCTCACCCTCATAGTCCTGTTTTTGCTTCGTTCATGTCCACTATTCTAGGTATGAAGGGAACTCTGGGGGCTTCTTCCTGTTGTTGTTAGGTGCCAGACGGAGACATTGGATCTTAATCTTACAGCTGAGAATTTCAAAAAAGTAACGCCATGACATCAGAGCGTAAAGCAGTGCATTGACAAAGCACCTATACAAGTGTTCCCCAATACTAGTCAGGGAGCAAACATAACTAGTATGACTAGTAACTAGTATTGACTCCTAGGCGTAACATGCATGATTCCTAACAACTATACAAATAACAGATCTGAGTCCTGTCCTATCCTGTGCCAAACTCACAGTCTCTGACACACTCAAGCCCATTGCTGCAGTCACTGTGTCAACCCACCTTCCTAAGGGTCTTCCTCTCTTTCGCCAACCCTCCACCTTCCCAAGCATGATGTCATTCTCCAAAGAATAGCCTTTCCTAGCAACATGCCCAAAGTATGTGAGAGGAAGCTTATCATCTTTGCCTCCAACGAGGACTTTGGCTACACCCTCTTCAAGACATGTCTGTCTGTTATTTTGGCCGTCCATGGGATATTCATTCCTCTTCTCCCACACCACAGTTCAAAAATGCCGATTCTTCTCTCATCTCATCCTTATTCATTATATAGCTCTCAGATGCATAGCAAGTGGCTGAAAATACCATGGCCTGAATCAGGAGCACCTTAGTCCTCAAACTCACATCATTGCTCCTCAACAATTTGGAGAGATCCCTGACTGCAGACTTTCCCAGTGCAGTACATCTCCTAATCTCCTGACTGTTCATACCAAGTATATTGACTGTGGACAGGTTTAATCTTTCTCTCCATCCATCATAATGTTATCTATTGGTTCAGTGGTAAGAATTTTGGGGGCTTTTTACATTGAGGTGTAATCTATATTGAAGGATGTGCTTCTGAGGCAAGTGTTTCAAGTCCCCTTCACTTTCAGCAAGCAAGGTTGTATCATCTACATAACACAGGTTATTGATGAGTCTTCCTCCAATCCTGATGCCACATTCTTCTTTGTAGAGTCCAGCCTCTTGAATAATTTGCTCAGCACACAGGCTGAACAGTTACAGAGAAAGGATACAACCCTGATACACACCTTTCTTCATTTTAAAACATGCAGTATTCCCTTACTCTATTCACACAGTAACCTCTTGGTCTAAATATAGGTTTCACAGAAGCTCAATTAAGTGTTCTGGGATTCTAATCATCTCAATGTTAGTGGCTCAGTGGTAAGGAATCGTGCTACCAACACAAAGGTACATGGTTCAAGTCCACCATCTGTTCTGTGGGGAAAAGATGGGCAACAAACTCTCATGAGATTCGCTGCCTGTGAAAAATCCCTGGAGGGTCAACTATGCGTCCGTTCTGACTCTACAATACACAACACAGCCTTGTCGCTGGGTGCCTCTGAGTTGTTTCTGGTTCACAACGACACCACGTACCACAGAACCACACCCTGCTCCATCCTGTGCCATCCCTGTGATCTCTGCCGTGTCTGAGCCCACATTGCAGCCACTGTGTTGGCCCAGCCTGTTGAGGGTCTTCACTGACTCACCCACCACCTTTCCAAGCATGATGTCCTCCAGGGACTGGCCCCTCTGGATAACATGTCCCAACGATATGATATATGATATATGATATGATATATCACATCATATCATATCATATCAGATATGAGAGATATGATTGATATGATATATGATATGATATGATAATGATTGGTATTACATATGTTATTATATATTATATTATAATGATTGATATGATATATTATATTATATGATTGATATGATATGATATGATTGATATGATATATGATATGATATGATATGATTGATATGATATGATAATGAAGCTTGCCATCCTGGCTTCTAAGGAACGTTCAGATGTACTCCGTCCAAGCCAGCTTGGTGTGTTCTTACAGAAAGTCCATGATATATTCAATATCAATTACTCAAAATTCAATCTCAGAAACTCAAACGCATAGCTCTCCTGGGTTTCTGAGGTGACTGCACACCTTTCTTTAACGGAGCCACTGGTCAGTCTGAACTCTGGAGAGGTTCAGCCTCTGGGCTAGCAGTGCGACTTCCAACAGACAAAGCCATCTGAAAACTGGGGTGGAGCATTAAGACCATAATGTTAAACACCGAGAAACGGAAACTTAAACTTCAAGCCTGGAACATCCAAGCCATCTGCTGATATGTCTTCAAATAGCAACAATTGGCAAGGTACAAGCACTCCGAAAGGCAGTTCAGCGTTTCCTCAGAAAGCTAATCATAGAAATTCTATATGAACAGCTATTCCACTGCTTGGAATAAACCCTGAGAAAATGAAATGAGAAACAAATGGAAATTTGTACCTCGATATTCATAGCAGTGTTATTCACCATGGCAAGAACATAGAAACAGCCTAAACGTTCAACCACAATTGAATGGATTGAGACATTGTGGTACATTCACATAATGGGATTCTACACAGCTAGCAGGAGCAATGATTTTTTTTAAATTACTACGTATCTTGGGAGACTGGAGAGCATTATGCTACATGAACTAACTCAGTCTCATAAGGACAAATACTGTATGAGACAATTATTGTAGAAATACAAAGATAACTAGTAAAACGTATATGAGGATCAAAGGAGGGGAGAGAGATGAAGATGGGCAGCAGGTTAATCATAGGGTCACAAAATTTGATGGATGGATGGAGGAGTTGGTAAAGCAAATGGGAAAGATCCAGTGTGAAAAACAATACATACAAACTTTGTAAGCAAACCAGTATAAAACATTTAAAAAAAAAGAAAGAATAAGCAGATATTAACTGTGTATTCACATAGGCCAGGCAGCCCCTTAGACTCTCTGTTAAAAAACAAAAACAAATACTTTTTCTTCAACAATTCATCAGGAGACTTCTCACTCTCACTCCATCAAGTCGGAGCCCACTCCTAGCTAACCCCACAGTGGGTTTTCTGAGGCTGCAGAGC